TCCGTTTCTAATGCTGACTGAATGAATCGGTGCCCCCTGGGTTTCCTGCCCTCAGAGAAGCCCAAAAGCTGGTGAGCACCTTCTTGGGGACAGGGCAGGGCCCCTCCCTGCTCTGGGGGTAGCCACTCCCCTAGTAAAGGGTCACAATAATGTGCTTTTTAAAAACATCCTGCGGTGGAGTCTTGGTTGAAATGAGCACTCACCTACAGAGCAAGGCCCCTCCCTTACTATTCCTCTTCTTCCGACAGCAAAACAAGCAGGCTGTGCTCATAGCCAGGTGCAGCCATGAATGACGACTCACGCACACATACACACAACAGTGGCTGATGGTATTGAGAGCTTACAAAATCCCCTGGGCTATTCCACACAAGCAGGGTAACAACCCATGGAGACCAGTTCCAATGCTGTTGCCACTTACATGGGTGACATCAATCAGGGAGGGTCAGTGCAGTGACACCCCAAGTGTGGTTCCCCCAATCGGTGGCCTCAGCATCACCTAGGAACACGCTACAAATGTGCATCCTTGAGGCCCAGGTTGTGGTGTAGTTGGTAAAGCTGCCACCTGCTGTGCCGGCGTCAGTTCATGTCCCACTTGCTCCACTTCTGATCCAGCTTCCTGCTGGTGCTTGGGGAAAGCAGTGGAAGATGGCCCAAGTGTTCAGGCCCCGTCACTCATGTGGAAGACTTGGATGAATCCCCTGGCTTCAGCCTGGCCCAGTGCTGGCTGTTGCGGCTATCCGGAGAGTGAAAGAGTAGATGGAAGATCTCTCTCTGTCTCTGCTTCTCTCCTCTCTCTCTTTTAAAATAAATAAATAAATCTTTTTAAAATATACTTAGATAAATAAATAAAAGGAAATGTGCATTCTGGGTGCCCTCACAAGGCCCTCTCGTGTCTGAACCTCTAGGCAAGGCCCAGCAACCTTTACAAGCCACAAACACTGGAGTGTGTGTTAAAGTTTAAGATCTGATGGGAGAAGGACAACAAAGAAGCTCCTAATCTCAGGGGCTTACAGCAGGGCTTGGCAAAGTATGGCCAAGGGCTCAGCCCAGCCCACTGCCTGCCTGTGTAAACCAAGTCTGGGCAGAGCAAACAGGAAGCCGTGCCCACGTGTCCACGTTGTGTCTGTGGCTGCTTTCTGGACACAGAGCTGAGCTGCGGAGCTCTGGCACAGACCACAGGGTGCACAAACCCTGAAGAATCCCTGACTTATCCTTCACAGAAAGTTTGCAATCCTGGCATAGAGCAACAAAGGTGTGGTCTGCAGAGACTGCAGCTCCACATTCTCTCTCACCCCCTCTTCCTCCCTCCTTTCCTCCCTTTCTATCTCTCTCCTCCCCCTCCCTCTCTCTCCCCCTCTCTCTCTTTCTCCCTCCCTTTCTCTGGCTAAGGCTGCAGGGACAGGCCCTGTGGGGGTCTCTGCCAGCAGCTCACTGGCAGAGAGAAAAGAGCCACGGCACGCTGTGTATCGGTGCTTAGAGCTTCAGCCCTCAAGTCCCACCAGCCCTTCACTCACATCTCACCAGCCAGAGCCTAACATCTTGGAGTGTGCAAGAACGCACCCCACCAGGGAGGGCAGCAAACAATCAGGAATAATGAAATCCTCACCTCTAGCCCTCTCCTGCAACCCACATAGACTGTTCTCCGTCCACATGCTGAGCACTCCTGGCCAGGGGAGACGGCCCACGCCCAGCGCCAGGCTCACAGCCAGCACCTCAGGGCCAGCTTGCTCTGCAAGGCAGCACCGGCCGCTCTTTCCCCAGGAACTCAGACAGCTCTCCTGCCCTGCACAGACAACACGCAGGAGTGGAACAGGGTAGGACAAGCACCATTGCTGCCCCACCAAGGCCTCAAGAGGGCCCCCGTACCTCCGTGGCCCTGCAGTCTGTGGCAAGGAGGTCCTTTGTGTTCCTTTATTCTCCATGCTCACTCCTAAAGAGGGCAAGAGGGAGGACACTCTACCCAGGGCGTCTTCCACTTTCTCAGCTGCTTCCTGCCCGACTCAGCTGAGGGCCTGCTGCTGAAGCCACGCCCTCACCCTAATGCCTTCGCTGTGGACTTCTTCGCTCTCCCTCCACTCCAGTTACTCTGTGAAAAGTGACTCAGAAGCTAAGGGAGTGACACAAGGGCAAAGCCAGAGCCAAGACCCGGAATCACAAAGACTCTAGGTTAACATCTTCATGCTGGCCTCTAGCCTGACAGCTTTGCAGGAACTCACAGGCCCTGACCAACGTCGTCCACAACCTAAACCTCGGACCCAACAGAGCAGTCAGCTCTGCCACCACTGACACACCACACTGGGCCATCACTGACCAATCCGCACAAGGCCAATCCCACTGCGGATTGACAGTGGCCCACACACAGTCCGGTCACACACCGCTCCTCCCCACTGTCGGCTCAACATCCACAGCCTTGAGCCAGGCTGGCAAAGAATGATCACTGCCAACTCTTTGCTTATTGCAAATGAATTCCTGTTTTCTTTAGTAATTGGCTTTTCCAAGGCACGTGGCAAAAAATGACCTAAATGAAAGATCTCTGTGAGTGAGATCCCTGTGGAAAGAAGGGGCCATCAAAGAAGGAGGTACCTTTCTCTGAAGGGAGAAGAGAACTTCCACTTTGACTAAGGCCTTGTCTAAATAAGGTCGGAGTTTGTGAACTCAAGAGGCTTCCATAGCCTTGGCAGCTCTTGACAAGAGCCTCAGGTGATTACTGATGTCATAAATAAGAGTGTCAATTGTTAAATCAACAACAGGAGTCACTGTGCATTTGCTCCCCATGTAGGACCTCTGTCCTTAATGTGTTGTACTATGAGAATTAACAGTAAAACTAGTCTTCAAACAGTCCTTTATACTTTATGAGTCTGTGTGGGTGTAAACTGTTGATCTTTACTTAGTATATACTAAGTTGATCCTCTGTATATAAAGATAATTAAAAATGAATCTTAATAAAGAATGGGATGGGAGAGGGAGTAGGAGATGGTATGGTTCGCAGGTGGGAGGGTGGTTATGGGGGGAAAACCGCTATAATCCAAAAGTTGTACTTTTGAAATTTATATTTACTAAATAAAAGTTTTCTATAAAAAAAGTAATTGGCTTTTGGGGAAGCAGAACCAGTTTTGTTGTTCTTGTTGGGGGGGGGGGGCAGTGCTCTAGAGCAATTCCTCCAACCAGTTTTAGAGTGTTCCATAGGCTTGAATGTGCATCCCCTCTAGAGTTCTATTGAGATTCAGTTGCCACGTGCCCATGCTGGGAGGTGGGACCTCTGAGAGCATTCAGGTCATGAGAATTCTACTCTTGTGCACAGATTAACAGCCCCGGTGGCTGTGGCTGTCACTCAGGGGCAGTTAGGGGCAGTTTCTGATGAGCACCACCTGCTGTCTCTCACAGGGTTCCCCGCCTTCCAGCATAAGAACCCTGGCAGAATCCATAGCCACACCCCCAGAACCAAAGAGGACCCAAATCAACTACTTTTTTAAAAAAGATTTATTTATTTATTTGAAAGAGTTACACAGTGAGAGAAGGAGAGGCAGAGAGAGAGGAGAGAGAGAGAGAGGTCTTCCATCCGCTGGTTCACTCCCCAATTGGCCACAACGGCTGGAACTGCACTGATCCAAAACCAGGGCCAGAAGCTCCTTCTGGGTCTCCCACATGAGTGCAGGGACCCAAGGACATGGGCCATTTTCTACTGCTTTCCCAGGCCATAGCAGAGAGCTGGATGGGAAGTGGAGCAGCCGCGTCTTGAACTGGCACCCATATGGAATGTTGGCACTGCAGGAGCCAGGCAGCTTCACCCACTATGCTACACCGCCGGATCTCAAATCAACTTCTATTAATAATTTTTTAAAAAAAAATAAATTTTATTTATTTATTTGAGAGGTATAGCTAGAGACAGAGAAAAAGGTCTTGCACCGACTGGTTCACTCTCCAAATAGCCACAATGGCCAGAGCTAGGCAGATGCGAAGCCAGGAGCCAAAACTTACGGGTCTCTCATGCAGGTGCAGCTGCCCAAGCACTTGGGCCATCTTCTACCACTTTCCCAGGCTACAAGCCCAGAGCTGGATCAGAAGAGGAGCAGCTGGGACAAAAACCAGGCTGTGCGGGATGCCGGCACTGCAGGCAGAGGATTAGCCTACTATGCCACAGCACAGGCCCCCAAATCAACTTCTATTGTCTATAAATTACCCAGCCTTGGGCATTCTTTTATAGCAGCAGGGCCTCAGGGGTCTTTTCAGTCTCAAACAGTCTCGGCCTCTGTCCATTTGTGATTCAATTGGCTGCAGACCTAACTTCCCCTCTCTTTCAGTGCCGGAGGACGACAGCAACATTAACGGTACCAGTGGACCACTCCTCCCGCCCTGCCTGTGGGCACCCTCCTCGTCGACTGTGGGTGAGGGCGCTGTACCTGCAGTCTCTTGCCTCTGCACCCTAAGGGGAAACTGAGGCTTACAGAACTGCAGGAAGCTTCCGCGGGCCTCACGTCTGGTTGGGACCTCAGCCCTCGCCATCTCCACAGCAGTCCCTCCCACCCAATCGCCAGACTGTCTCCCCCGTGGGGCTACGTAATTCCACGGCCTTAAAAAGCCTCAGCAAGACTCAAAGACACTGAGTTAACGGTCACCAGGAAGGAGCGCGGCAGAACCCTCAGCACAGAACGCTGCCCCTCTCCAGGGCCACCCGGCGCTGCCTGCAAGTTCCCTTCTAGCCCACACCTGGCGCGGGCCCCCGCGGCTCCCTTCCGGCCTTACCCTTGTGACTGTGTCTTGCGTACCTCCGGAGAGCCCAGGCTTTGACACGTGTAGGCGTCAAGGAGAGCGAGGCCTCTGGCACCCAGGCCGTGGGGAGGACAGGGACCCGCTGTGGGGGAGGGGACAGCTCCCAGACACAGCTGCCCTGGGCATGAGCACGGCCCAGGCCTTTGTACCTCTTCCCTTGTCTGAGTCCACGTAACCTCCAACCCTCACTCCCTTCCTCCCTCCTTCTCCCTTTAAAACGGCAGACTCACCAGGGCCCAAGTCACAGCGGAGCTCGGAGCTCGGCTCCTTCCTCTAAGCGAAGTCTAAGGTCACCGTAGGAACTGTGCCCTACCGTGGCTTTCTTTAAGCAGCACCCTCTCCACCCACCACTTCTCCCCGGGCCTCCCGGTGGTTTTCCTCTGAGGCTTCCTCAGTCCTCCTCCTCAGATGTTAATGAGGGTTAGCAGCACCTGGGGGGGGGGGGGGGGGGGGGGGCGGGGCGTGCCTGTTAAAGCTGCAAGGTCCCCAGCACCCCAGCCCCCTGTCTGGGACTGGACTGGGCTCCGAGCAGTGAGGGCTAGGAATCTGCATGTTAACCATGCCCCGCCCAGCCCCAGCCCCAGCCCCAGCCCCGCAGGTGACTCTGCAGCAGCCGGCTGGCCCCTGTCCCTACTCTAATTTCCACCTGACGAGGAAGAATGCCATTCTGGGAGGAAGTCGCGAGTTCTTCTGCAGGTGCCGGAGCATGTGGGAAACACTTCATTAATTTCCACCCCGTCCTCGGAGGTGGCATCCTGATAGCTATAATTACGCCTCGATTACTTGGAGGGATTGAAGTGTTCTTAGAGAAAAGACAGACCGCAGCCAAGCCACTGGCTGGCTCAACGGGAGGCCAGGGTGGGAGTGAGGTCACAAAGGAACACAGGAGGGACAGCAGCCCCCTCCCCCTCCGGCACCCCACCCAGAGGAGGGAGGAAGCAGGGAACCGACAAGGGGAAGGGAACACAGCCACCAGCCTGGTCTCTGATCCAGAGGCCACAGGAGTGTTTCAGTTGGATTTGTTAAATATTGACTTAGTTGCCAATATTTTGCAATCAAGTAGCTGAGTATAAGAATTCAAATCTCGAGGCCGGTGCTATGGCATAGTAGGCTGAGCCTCCCTCCACCTGCGGCTCCTGCATCCCGCATGGGTGCTGGTTCACATCCTTGCTGTTCCTTTTCTGATCCAGCTCTCTGCTATGGCCTGGAAAAGCAGTGGAAGATGGCCCAAGTCTTTGGGCCCCTGCACCCACATTAGAGACCTGAAAGAAGCTCCTGGCTCCTGGCTTTGGGTCTGCCCAGCTCTGGCTGTTGCAGCCTTTTGGGGGAGTGAACCAGGAGATGGAAGACCTTTCTCTCTGTCTCTCTTTGTCTTTCCATCTCTCTCTGTAACTCTGCCTCCCAAATAAGTCTTTTTTTTATTTTTTATTATTTTTTTTATTTTTTTGACAGGCAGAGTGGACAGTGAGAGAGAGAGACAGAGAGAAAGGTCTTCCTTTGCCGTTGGTTCACCCTCCAATGGCCGCTGCGGCCGGCGCGCTGCGGCCAGCACACCGCGCTGATCCAATGGCAGGAGCCAGGAGCCAGGTGCTTTTCCTGGTCTCCCATGGGGTGCAGGGCCCAAGCACCTGGGCCATCCTCCACTGCACTCCTGGGCCACAGCAGAGAGCTGGCCTGGAAGAGGGGCAACCAGGACAGAATCCGGCGCCCCAACCGGGACTAGAACCCGGTGTGCCGGCGCCGCTAGGCGGAGGATTAGCCTAGTGAGCCGCGGCGCCGGCCCCCAAATAAGTCTTTAAAACAACAAAAAACAAATCTCTGACTTCTCCTGAGGAATCAGAAGCCCCATGAACAAGCAAAGCTAAGGGTGGGTGATCACTTTGGATGGAGTATGCAACCTGAGCTGCTGAGTGACCGCTTGGCCCATGGACTTCACCCATCCAGTCCCTCAGTTGTGCTTCCGGTCACAGCTCAGGGAGAGGGCTCCCTGTCCTCAGGAGACACTCACGGAGCTGCCGGAGCAGGGTCTGAGGAAGGGGGCTCCTGAGAGGGACAGGCGATGCCCGTGGGCGTGGAAATGCCCTCCATCTTCCACCCACACCTCCAGCACGGGAGGCCGTGCTCTGCACATTTTTCACAGCTGGGCATAAATCACTTTGGATTTTCCTAAAATCTGCTCCTTCACCACCAGCCACAGTGAAGCCCGAGAAATAGAGAAGAGTACGCGGTGGAGGAAGGGCCCCTGCCCCTGAGACAGCTCCAGTTTCTCTGGTGGCCAAAGCCCTGGCAGCAGGAAAGACATTTAGGAGAACACGGACAGCTTCAGGACGCGTTCGTCGCTAACAAAGCTACCACAGGCTCAGAGCGTCTTTCATAATGTCTGAACCCTGAGTTAACATTAATTTAACATTGAAACATGGATTTAATAATGTCTGAGGAATAAATCAAGCCTTTGAGACATCTAAAATTTAATTTTAATATGTAAAGTGAAATAAAATAATTGCATTCAAGGGATAGTTTGAAAACGGTGTATCCTACGTCCACAAAAATGTGCAGGTGTCACTGTGGAGAAGTGAGGTTCTTGTCTTCACACAAGAAAGAATTCAGGTGTGAGACTGAGAGCAAAGTAATAAGGTTTTATTGGGGACAGGGCATCCATCAGAATGGAAGGGACAGATAGAGGGTGAGTGCACAGTCACTCAGAACTGGGGAAAGCGAGTTTACATGGTTAAACGGAGACAATACACCTGGGCAGTCCGGGTGGGCGGTTCAGCAAAGAGCAGAGAGCTGAGCTTGCAGTCTTTGGTTAGACTCCTGGTTTTCAAGGGAGTCGCTTTCCCCCCTCCAGGACAAAGGATTTGCTGAGTGTAAATCAGCAAATTCCTCCCCCAGGCTTGGGGAGCCCTGGCTCAGGGCACTGGAGCTTCCCCCTGGGCATCTGTGACCCATGTTATCAGGTCCGGTAACCCGAAGAGAATTCTCCTGGGAGCTTTCCTTGGGGCAGGGGAGTGGGGAGGGCTGAGGCTACCTGGAAGGTTATCAGGGTCTGGGCAGGACTTTGAAATGTAAAATGCTGGGCTCCTGGGGCTTCTGTAGACATGCCTGTTTCTTCAGGTCCCTCTCACACACATACACACATAGGCTAATTTCTTTTTCTTTTTCTTTTTCTTTTTTTTTTTTTTTTTTTTGACAGGCAGAGTGGACAGTGAGAGAGACAGAAACAGAGAGAAAGGTCTTCCTTTGCCGTTGGTTCACCCCCCAATGGCCACCGCAGCCGGTGCACTGCAGCCGGCCCGCTGCGGCCAGTGCACCACGCTGATCCAAAGCCAGGAGCCAGGTGCTTCTCCTGGTCTCCCATGTGGGTGCAGGGCCCAAGGACTTGTGGCCATCCCGGCCACAGCAGAGAGCTGGACTGGAAAAAGGGCAACCGGGACAGAATCTGGCAACCCAACTGGGACTAGGACCCAGGGTGCTGGTGCCGCAGGCGGAGGATTAGCCTTGTGAGCCGCAGCGCTGGCCAACATATAGGCTAATTTCTAACTTCTACCTAATGCAGGGAAGATCTGGGATGCACTAGAGTACCCTCAGTCTGAAGAAATTAAAAAATTAATGGTCTCCAACCCCAAGTCAGCCAAGATGATGGAATCATATCACAATCTGATACAGTTCTCAGATAACTGCAAAATTTGCAACAGTTACAGCCCAAACCATCACTGGAAACCAATGGAAACCAAAACCACACTGTGTGACAGCCAAAGACATAACTGTTAGGTAGGAAGTCAGTTATGAGCTTATGTGTGTGTGAGACATAAAGGCCTAAAGAGAAGACATCTATGTCCAGCATATGCATCTGCATCTCAAAGTCATCCTGACAATGTTTCAGTGGCAGCCTGGTATTCACATTCTGCCCTACCCCCTTCTACCTGATAACCTGCCGGGTGGAGGTCCCGGCCCCTTCTGCCTGACAAATCTTCCACAATCTCCTAGGTGCAGCCCAGTATCTGCATTTCAAACTCCCTGCTCCAGATCCCCATTCTCTAGGGGGTCCTGCTCACCTTCCTCTGAACCCAGGATGGAGCCAGCTAGGCTTCCTCCTGTCTGATACCTTCAGGGCAAAACTCAGATAGGAGCTTCTTAATATTTACAGCCATAAAATCCTTTGTTTCAGGAGGAGATGTATGAAGACCAAGACCCATCTCCTTAAAACACACACACACACACACACACCCACACCCCACACCCCCCCACACACACACACCCCCCACCCCACCCACCCCACCCCACACACACACCCCCCACCCCACCCCACCCCCCACCCCCCCACTCCCCCCCCCACCCCACCCCCCACGGCTTCAACCAGACTGCGCGCTCAGCCCTCTATCTCTCTGCTGAGCCGCCCGTCTGGTCTGGCCAGGTGTACTCTCTCCACTCAACCAGGTAACCTCGCTCCTTCCTCCCCTCCCCGCCCCCCCCAGTCCGAGTGACTGCACTCTCCCAGGTCCTGTCTGGAGAAGTGTCCATCCATCCTTACGGATGTCCCTTCCCTAATAAACTTTGCTATTTTACCTCCCACTACTCTGTCTCACACCTGAATTCTTTCTTGCGCGAAGACAAGAACCCTGCATTTTCTCCAGTAACTTTTTGGCTAATATTGGCCCTCCAGGTAAACTCGGACAACTAGGTAGTGGGCAATCTTGAGTGACAGGAGATTTCAAACACCCACTCAGCCCCAGACATCAGGGCTTTTCCCTATGCTCCAGCTGGGATTCGTAGGGGAAGGTGAGGGCAGTCGCTCACATCTCGGTCCTCTGTAGTTTTCCGTCTCCCTCCCCCACTCTTTGCTAGGCTCTGCTCATCTCCATTCCTATACCGCTGGCCTGGAGAAAGGAAGAGGGAATTCCACAGGTCTCTCCACCTAGGGAAAAGCTGTTACATGTTAACCTTTTCCAACCTGGTAGAAGGTTTTCCGTCTTTGCAGCTTATGGTAGCTCTGGTGCGTCTCAAAGTTTTTGTGAACTATTACTGTTGCTAAGCTTTGATTGCCTGAGGACTGAATCTGGAAAGGAGCTAAAGTTAACTATCTGTTTTAATTGACTGAATGTCTGCAGTAGTCCTGATTGATCTAGCTTTGGTTGAATTACAGGAGGTTCCCAGCACTCTTGGTGGAACGGCGCTCCTACCCAACCCCACGGCCAGTCCTGCCAGGCCCCGATGTGCACAGTCTTCCCTGTAAATGGGGGACCACAGCCTTTCTCTACACTCTATTCCAGTCCATGCGGCCTGCCGCACCCAGGTAGGCAAAGCCAGATATCTCTAGGGAGAGTGCCCCCCCCCCCCCCCCCCCCGCTGCTTTTTTCCTCCTCTGGAGGAATTTCCAATTCAATACTACTGCTGGCCTTACCTAAGGGAGCCAGAACCCGTAATCCATTAACCCTTTCCAACCTGATGAGTTTTTCTCTTTGCAGTTAATGGAAGCCTAAGCAATGGGCTCATATGCTGATGACTAGTTCTTTTCTGTGCTGCTGTCCCTGACTTACCTGATGAGAGCATTCACCTGTCTTGAAGGTTTCACATTTTTCTATTGCCATTATGAGTCTTGATTGGGAAAACTGCAACGCGAAGTTGTTTACGTTATTTGTCTGTTTTAATGTTTGAGTGATTACCCAACTGATCAGAAACGTACTAATTGTTGACTAAACCACTTGACTCTCTGACAGCTTAAATTCTAAACTGAGTCTTCCAACTTTGGGCTTCCAGTCGGATCCCTGGAACTCTCAAAGGATGAGACTCTAAAATTTGTTAAAGTAACAGCTGTTTGAGTCAATTCAGATTATGTGAAATGTATTAAAATGTTGTAAATGGTATCAGACCTATGCTGTATTCATGTTTTTGCTTTCCAGCTAGAGTGGTCTTATGAAAATGAGAAGTAAATTCTATGTATACAGGCCTTTATGTTGGTAACTAAAGTAAGCCAATACAGATTGGTTCAGAGAATGGAGTTAATGCAAATGCCCTTAGGTTTGCTCTTGGCTCACTTGCTCAGTTTTACATGTCTTTGATATGCTTTAAACTTGTTTCTCTTAACAATGAAGATCTTTTCAAAGTTGTAAACATGCACTAGTGTCCCTG